TTCCCTACAGCCTTGCTCACAGAGCAATTGTTCAGTTAGTTCTTGACTTTTGCTCATCTGATGGGAATATATCTGAGAACTGTGTGTTCATGTCCTTTGCCTTTCGTGCTTGCAGATTTTAACACATAAACAGTGAGCATTTATCCCTTTATAAAGCAGAAGCATGGAATAGTGACACACCCCTATAGCATCTATCTCTACATTTCGTTTTATGAAAGTGGGAGGAGGTACTCACTGTTCCAATACCAGCCAAATCAGGAACTGAAATTGCTGTTAGAGGTTTGGGATCATAAACATGGAAAATAGTTGTCTTTAAAAGCCTATCCATTTTTCCTTTAGACCCAAGAGTATCTTGCAATAATTTGCCTTGTTGAGTCCTTTCAGTGCCCAGGGAGAGGATATATCACATGTTGAACTGACAACAATTGTGATTTTTTAACGAATTGGGACAAATTATTTCCTAGTTTTAGTGACTCTCTGTCAAAAGACTTACTTGAGCAAGGTTCCCCGTCAATGCGGTATCCCGCCCTTCCAAATCCAGCCACAACGTTATTCTGTAAGACTGTATTGGTCCCTCTATTTATCTAGTATAATGACAAAGAAAATGCTTTGGGTCAGGCTCTTCCACAATTAGGCCGTGAGAGCCAGTAGGCAACACACAGGATGTCTAATTATGACTACACTTACAGGAGGAAAATTTAATTCAGTATTCACTCCATTCAAACTTATATTACAAATGAAGTACTGATATTACCTTAGGTCAGTGGTTCTCAACCTTCCTAATGCCGCAACCCTTTAATACAGTTCCTCATGTTGTGGTGACCCCCAACCATAAAATTATTTTCATTGCTACTTCATAACTGTAACTTTGCTACTGTTATGAATCGTAATGTAAATATCTGATATTCAGGATGAATTTTCATTGTTACAAATTGAACGTAATTAAAGCATAGTGATTAATCACAAAAACAATATGTAATTATATATTCAATATGTGTTTTCTGATGGTCTTAGGCGACCCCTGTGAAAGGGTCGTTCGATCCCCAAAGGGGTCGCGACCCACAGGTTGAGAACTGCTACCTTAGGTTCTTAGTGTAAAACCATCACCAGACTTCTCAGAAAAGTACATTAAAGAGATTATTTATTATATTTTTATACCTTAGACTTCTTAGGAAAATGCATTAAAGGAATTATTTTTTTATTTCAGTCACAAAATCCACTGGATGTGGTTCAATATTTATAAGATAGACTAAATTACAGTATTATAGCAAGGTTACAAATACTTTGTCACTCTTTTTGGTTATATTCTGTTACCAATTTGATTTATTTAAAACAAGAAAACCAAGGCAATTACAATGGACTATAAGATTCAATAGAGGCGTTCAATACTTTAAATAAAATCTGCTATACTAAAAAACTGGGTAGCATGAGTATTAAGTAATGACTAAGCAATTTTATGAGTCAAGTCAAAGTGGTAGAAAATGAAAAGTACAAAGTACAGAAGGTCTAGTTCTTATCTACAGTGTCAGCAAAACATTTAAAACTTTGATTATTTAAAGCACACTAAACACCCTATTTTTAAAGATTATGATAAAATAGTCAAATGGTATTCATAAAAGTAAGTAAGTACCTTTTATTTAAAAAGATACAGATAACTTTAAAGAATAGGAATTAACATTTTATTACATTCAAACACTTATAAATAGATGAAAGAGAACATTACCTCATAAATATATACTAAGTTCCAGGTTTCACATTTTACTGTAAGGTGATATTAATAGTTGCACAAAATCAAAGCCCAATCCTTATCCCATCTTTCAAAGAGAGCTATTTGTAATTCTTTTTTGTTCCTATGGCATAGGTGACTAAAATAAAAACAAGAGGAAGCCATATTTCCTCTAGGTCCTTTCTCTGTACTATTTTAATTTACAATATCATTCTGCATCTAAATAAAGACCGATAGTAATGGAAGAAATTTCATGGGAATCAAGTAGGGTCCAATAGTAATGTTAGATTAGAGTAAATAACCTTGCATATAGAATAAAAAAAACCATAGATGAGAAAAGGGTTGCAGAGATTCTAAGGCTGTTATTATAATTTTCCATTTGGAAGGAAACTAAATCCAGAGTCAAGTAGTGATCTGTGCAAGGCACTCAGTCAGTTAGCAGCACAGAGACCCTGTACTGTAACCTGAGAGCAATAATTAATGTTAGAGAAGCAATAAATAAGAGAACTATTTAAACCAGTGAGCATCAACACAAAGAAAAATCCAATGGCTGTTGGAGCTCACATTATCTTTTGAGAAAGTTCATTCAGTCCTTCAATTAGTTCATTTTACTAATTCACCAATCTTTAAGGAAGAAAGAGTTTTCAATAATATTTTGAGATTTATAATTTCTACAGAAATTATAATCCTCAATAAAGAAGTTATAACTGTGTATAATTATAAGTTTGTTTGCATTACCTCAATTGCTGCATGCCAGAGAGTTGAACTTAAATCTTTTCTGTTCTGATAGGTGCCTGGCCAAACCGAAAGTGCAACCAAGTTTCCTCGGACTCTGTTGGCATCCCCCCATATTCTTATGCCTGGAAAAAAAAATCCCCCCAATACATGTAAATTTGTAAAAAGTATTATGGGGGATGTCAATGGGGAAAATTAGTTTTCTAGTTTAAGCCTGATAATTGACTCCCTTAGATTTTAAAATTGAACCCTCTGAACTCTGATAGTGAAACTCCACCTCTTTAATAGACTACCTGAATTAGGATCTTCTGGGTGCTTGTTAAATATGTGGGTTCACAGGTTCCACCTCAGGATTTAACAAACACATTAATAATTATGCACATTTTTTGAAAGTTTGTATTATATTCTTTAATGACATTCAAGAAAGAATAACCCCCTAAAATCAAATATAATTTTTATTAAATAACCTTTACTAGTGAATAAGCTTTTTGATTGACATCTGAGGAGTATTTTAAAAGTCATAGTAATTTAAACTATTGGTATTAGATAACTCTCATAAGATTGGGGTTTGGTAAGTAATTCTTCTTGAGCTCTACTATCCACCATGGTATCCATAGCCACCTGTGACTACTTACATGTAAAGTTAAGTATGATTAAATTAAGTATAATTAAAATTAAAAATCCAGTTCCTCAGTCACATTAGTCATATTTCAAGTGCTCAATGGCCACATGTGCTTTAGAAATTACCATATTAGCACAGATATCAACCATTTCCATTCTCGAAGAAAGATCAGCTGGACAGCATGGCCCTAGAGCTTAAAGACAAGACTGTCTCAGAAAGATAAGTTACTTGGACCAGAATTTTATTCTCTTACCTTCCCCCACTGTAAAGTGAATGATGTTATCATCTATGTCCAGTCCACCTGTCCCAAACACACCGATCGCTGGGGAAAAGCCATGGTGAAAAGCACAGCCTCGAATGTAAGATGAGCCACGATCTAGAATCTACAAAACATTAGGATTCAGTGAATATTTAAAAAAAAAATGAAAATATATTTAAAGGAAAAATTCGAAGTAGGTGATTTTCAGGAAACACACCTTGATAAATAAAATACTTAATTTATATTCCATAAAAAGAGATGATTTCCCAGCAGGTCTTTTAATCCTGGGAAATGTCCACATATATTATGATTAAATAAAGCAAAAAATAAAGTATGCTTATTTTAAATGCAGGTAAAAAATTCTCACTTTGCTATGCATTTATATTTCTATCATTACCTATAAAATGCTAAGGTACTAAAATTTATTTTTTCAAAATAGTTTACTATATGATTAACAGGGATTTTCTTTTTCTTCAAAATTTGACATTCTAAGCAAGAGGTTATGACTCAACTGTCTATTGGAACCAGTCAATGAGTAGGTTAGGGGTTTCAATTTCAAACCTACAAGATTACTTTTTATTTCCATAAGAAATAAGCTCTCATTTTCCTTAAATCACCAGCCCTCACAGAATATTTATTTTCCCACTTTGACAGAGACATGGATATACAGACATAGGTATTTTTCATTTGAAAAATTTAAGCAATATTCACTTTGTTTAATAGAAACTGGAAATATGTTTGGTTATTTCAAAATAAAGTGAAGGTGTTAGGTACTATTATAGATGGTCAATCCTTTCACCTTCTCTGTTCCTTTTTCTATTTTTATTTATCTTACCCTAAATAAATGCTTGAAATGGGTGGAATGAAATGCTACCATGAGTCTAAAACAGTTAATGGGGAATACATCTAAGAAAGTTGTATTATATTATATCATAGTCTTAGTAATCATAAGCTATGTCTATTTAGTAACGATAAATGAAAGTCAAATAATCCTTTCACCTTCTCTGCTCCTTTTTCTATTTTTATTTATCTTACCCTAAATAAATGCATGAAATGGGTGGAATAAAATGCTACCATGAGTCTAAAACAGTTAATGGGGAATACATCTAAGAAAGTTGTATTATATTATATCATAGTCTTAGTAATCATAAGCTATGTCTATTTAGTAAAGATAAATGAAAATCAAATCAAAATGTTTTACTTTGGATATATGCAAAAATTCAACATAAAGTACAAACCTGTCCTAGGTTAAGAAACGTGACAGCATACCGTGGGTCCGTGCTGTCCCTGAAGCCTTCCTGGCCGCTGTGATAAAATTCCACATCACTTATCCTTGCATTTCCTGTGGGAAGGGGGCAGTTAAATTCATTTTTTCTTGAAAAAAATATAAAACATTTTTAAAAATCTACAAAAGCTGTAATTTTTCCCATTACAAACTTGTTTTCAACTCTTTCATGGAAATCTCATTAGTTTTTCATTGCTCCTTTAATCTAAATGAGGCAGTATTTCTGAACTTTTTTTTTTCACTACCCCCCAGAGCCTTCTTAGGCATTTTTTCCTAATAGCTTCCCCTCCCCATGAAGTTTTAATAACACAGATATATTATGTATCTGTTAATGTATGGTGGCCCTTTGGGGGACTACAAACCATTGCGATAACTAAGGGTATTTTTATCCCTCAAGGACCAACTTCACCCCTTGGTGGTGATATTGTCTCTGTTGAGAGTACATGACATAAGGCATGAGATATAATTCACGTGACATTTCCATTTTGATGTTCTAAAGAGCCTTTACGGGCATCATCTTTACATAACCTCTCTAGACTATGCACTGCCAACTATCTGCTCATCAGTTTATTGTAAGTACCACTGAGCTGACAAAAGCCAATTTCACAGATTAGTAACAACAGCAAAAACAGTCCATGAGGGATTGCTCTGTGCCAAAGCTGTACTAACGGCTGGCAGTGGGTGGTTTAATGCTCATACAACATCCTATGAGTGAGGAACTTTTATTACTCCTATCTTTTCTGGAAGAAAACTGAGGTACGGAGATCCATGGCTGGTAAGAAACCAGTAAAATACAGTCCTTGCTTCAAAACTGGTATTTAATAAAATGCATTAGAGAGGAGTTATTTTGCACTAGAAGGGAAAAACCGGTAGAGTGGGGAACATAAGATTAATATAATAAAGACAGAGAAGAAATGGTGATCACGGACCATGTGGGTCTACAAAGCCATTGCTGTGTTTTCTTTATTTACATCACAAAACAATAGGAGCAAGGAAAGGCTGTCATGGGAATAGGGCCCATCTTGGGACTTTAAGTGAGACAGACATGGATTACTGCAGCAATTTACCCCTCTAATCATCTAGGTCTTTATCTTTATCTTGAAAAGAGAGACAACATTGTAATAGCTATGTACGATGTCAGGTGAGTACTAGACTTCTTAGGTGAATCACTTAGTAAGTTATACAAATGCCTGTACTGCGCTGTACACCTGTAATTGCAAAATAAAAAAATTAAAAGGGGGGCAATATTTATGCCATAGTACAATGGGTATTAAATGAGGTAATATGTGCAAATGCTTAGCCCAATGCCTGAAATCTTGTATCATGTCACTAATAAAAACCAAAACAGCTAAATAAGCCAGTCAGAGAAAGATAAATATCACCTGATCTCACTCATTTGTGGAATATAATGAACAACATAAACTGATGAACAAAAACAGATCCAGAGACAGAGAAGCATCGATCAGACCATCAAACCTCAGAGGGAAGGAAGGGGAGGGTGGGGGTAAGGAGGAGAGATCAACCAAAGGACTTGTATGCATGCATTTAAGGCTAACCAATGGACACCGACACCAGAGGGGTGAGGGCATGAGTCGGGGGGTCAGGAGGGAGGGGAGATAAGGACACATATGTAATACCTTAATTAATAAAGAAAAAATATCCATATTGAAAAAAACAAACAAAACAAATAAAAACTTGTCACCTTTGGAGTTAACAAGGGGAAAGAATCAAGCATTTTTCTTACATTTCCTTTATAAACTGTCCCTCAAGGTAGTCAAATAATTGTTTGGAGGAGCTTCTCTTTATAGAGGTATTCTAGATTATAAATGAGGAGGGACCAGTATAATTAAAATATCACCATTTTAAACCTCAGTAGTTTAATCCAGGCAATGATCATAAATGGCTGCTAATATCTCAAAAGGAGAAACAGTTACACATGATGTGCCTACTAATGAAAAATTATACCATCAACTATGAAGAGTTCTTGCATAAAAACTGAATCTGTATCTGATCAATTTTCTAGTTCTAACCTACACATGCATAGAAAATATAAGTGAGACAAAAACAACTTAAATTCTAGGAATGCAATCCCTAAATCCCAGAATGTTGGAAATGCTATAGGACAAGTGACCCATTTCCTCTTATCAATAAAATGCAAGGAAAAAGAAATGAATCAGAGACGTTTAAGATTCATAGCCAATTGCAACATGGATCTTATTTAGATCCTGATTTGAATAAAGAGAGCACAAAGGAAGGAGGAAAGGGAAGAAAAGGAAGGGATGGGAAAGATAGGGAAGAGAAGGGAAAAAGGAAGGAAGGAAGGAAGGAAGGAAGGAAGGAAGGAAGGAAGGAAGGAAGGAAGGAAGGAGGGACAAGCTATTATCTAAGGTCATTGTTAATTTGATAATTAACAATTTGATAATTCTTACTGTCTGAAGTAAAATAAGTGGAATAATGTTGGGGATTTGGTATGGGAAGGGCTATATAATCCCACTCAAAGCTTTATTTTTCCACGTATCAAAAACAAGACACCAGGCCCAAAGCAGAGTCACTGATGCTAAGTCACGCAACACCAAACTGAAATTTAACTTAACTACAATTCTGGCTCTTCCAGAAATGGAATCTTAAAACAGTGAATCAGGAATGGCCCAATCAGCATCAGGGATAATGTGCCTGATAAACCCTTGCCATCCCCTACAGGGAAAGTAACCTTTATTTATTTATTGTTTAAAGTATTACAAATAGTAGTACATATATCTCCTTCTACCTCCACTGACCTCTCCCTGGTCTCCCCCACCTCCTGGCACATGCCCTCACCGCACTAGTATCTGTGTCCATTGGTTATGCTTATATGAAGGCCTTGCACTAACCAATTTGCTTTTTTACTGAGTATAACTTCCTTGTTCCTGTTCCCTTCTGCCTATAAAATCTTTCCTTGTGTAAGCTCTTCAGATCTCCATTTGGCCTGCTATACTGGATGCTGCCTGATGCATGATTTATTAGATAAGGCTAGTAAGATCTTTAAAACATACTCAGTTGAATGTTGTTTCTTAGCACAGGAGATCCTATAAAGACGTGAGAATTACTGAAGATCTGACTACACATAGAAAAGAATAGCCTATATTTCATCTAGGAAAAGAACCTGAATTTGTACCAACCTTTAAAAGTCATCATATTTTCAGTGAATGAGCTGATCAGGACACGTGCACCAAATGATTCTTGGAACCAACCTGGGTAGTCTTCACCAAGTATTTTGATGTTCCTGCTCAGTATCCCAACATCAGCTGCTAATGTGTAGCTCTGACCTGTTCCAGGAACTTGGTATCTTTCACCTGCAACAGGACAGCTAGGTTATTACTAATGCTGAGAAATTCCCATCTTCATTCGTTTATTTGCTGTTCATAGGCTACATAGCCTTCAAATATGCCAAAAGTTAACACAACTGCGTAAATTGATTAACATTTTATACTTAACACACATAGATGGCAGACTGAAATTATGATAGCTTTTTAATAAAACAAAATGTAATCAAAAGTATTTCTTTTATATAAAAAGATTATTATAATCAGCAATGAAGTTATTGCTTCATAGGAAGTTTGCAATCACTTTATACACATATACACTGTTGTAAGGCAAGTTGAGAAGCTGCTTGAAATTCTAATAGATGAGGAAGTGAGGTAGAGAAGTAAAAGAATTTGCCCAAGGCTGTGTGGAGAATCAGCAATACATCGATATTACCTCTCCTGACCACAAACCTTGGTTTGTTCCTGGGCATATTTCCTGGGCATCTTTTGTATCAATCACAATTCTTTGTAAATACTAGTAGCATAGCAAACACAGTGTGTACACTTGCATCTTAATGATCTAGAAAACATAACCTAAATTCCATTCTACATTTCTGGAAATGTTAGTCAAAACTTTAAGAGAGGCAGGTACATTTCAAACAGAGAGAAATGTTTGGTAGTTTAAAGGAAAAACTCAAAGACTATATAATGTCAAACTTCCAAAACTTTTTGTTTTACGATTAAAATGTTCTCCAACGAAAACTTTTCTTTTTGATTTAGAAGAAAATATGTGATACAGAATGATAGACATATATGCTTCTATTAAAATACTGCTTTAAAATGTTCGCTTAAGTTTCTTTTTCACGCAGGTCACATATCCACAGCCTCTCACACAGCCTTACAGCTGGAATTCTCATGAGCACCAGAGCATCTAAGTGGTTTTCCGACATCCTTCTGTCTGCTTCCGCATCCTGGGATTCTGAGGAAGGCAGCAGGTCAAATGGGGGAAGGGTGGGTCCTGGGAAGGCCCTGACCCTACAGGCTGAGATTTGGTCTTCAGTTGATTCTGAGGAATTCCTTCTTTCCTGGAGAATTGTGGTTTACCATTTGGCTGTAGTTTGTTTAAATGCAGTTTCAACTGAGGAATGTGTCAATGAAACCAATCGGGACAAAGATGCTCTCAGATCAAGGGTTTTCAAATGTTAGTGTGCCTAAGAGTCACCTAGAAGCCTGCTTAAACAGAAAGTGACACCTTACCCCACAGAAGGAGAGAATGCAATGCAGTAGATCTTGGCTGTATGTTTGCTAAACAAAAGAATGGCTACAGCAGGGACTCTTCCTAGCCAGCATGTAAACAGTAGCACCCCTTGGGGACCAGTCTGAGTGAAATGCTCTTCTAAAATAATTGAGATGTTTCATGTAATAATTGTAATTACAGAGGGAAGCACTAAAATGTGACGACTTTAAGACATTTTAATTACATATCTATTTGGTTAAAGAACAACCACTTACCAAGGTGAGTGTAGGACAGGGGATCATTGAGAATGAGAATTTTGTGACCATGCAGGATTTTCACGATGCTTCTGGTTTCTGTCTGGTGGATATCATAACTCGTGGTTGTTATCACAATCTCTTCTCCCTCCTTAGGAAAAATCAAGTGCCAAATACAAGAACAATTTTAAAAATAGATTTATATTTCTTAATAACTACTCAAAATTCTAATTTATTTATATCTGATTAGAATCAGGGTATTGTCACAGAAAAAAAACCCCTATATACTTAGATGTCTAAAATAAATATGCTTCTCTTTGATATTATGAATTCTAAATTTTGAATTATCTTAGAATTTTCTTACATTTAATTCAGTCATTTAATAAAATCAGGCTATACATTTAAAAAATTAAATCAATCAATCAATCATATTTTTATTAAAAAGCTGATGAGAACAATACTCTTTAAGGCTTAAAAAATTTTTCCAAGGATTTTAAAACTTAGTTAACTATCATTTGAATTCCTGAACGGTAGGAGGAAGATAAATCTTAAAGAGCAAGAAGACCAAGTCTTAGAATCTGTATTTGTATGTAACGAGCTCCTTCTTGTCATCCAAATATCTGCTCAAATGTACCTGTAGGGGACCCCTGTAGCAAAAGCCAGGTTAACAAGAGAAAAGCATCTAAATTTATTTAACCTAAGTTTTATGGGACACGGGAGCCTTCATAAGGGTGAAGATCTGAAGAAATTGTTATCCCTGAGTGTTTCTATGCTAGGTTTCATGACAAGGGACAGTAGTGGGAAAATGTGACAGGGTACGAGTTCAGTGCAATAAACTGGGAGAACTAGCAAGGTTCATTCCAATTCTTCTTTGTGTCCCTTTGTTTCCAGAGATAAGGATGGTCTTTTCCTCTGGGTACAGGGCGGGCACCTCACATATGAAGGTTTATGATCTGTTTCTGGGGAAAGTAGAAAGTCCTTCCAGCACAGGCTGTTTCTCAAATTCCTTCATCTTAAAATATTTAAGGTTTTGGGACAGCATGTCTTGAATTTAATATTTTTGAGTAGCATGTCTTGAACCCCATCTTACCCTTGACAGACGCTTTCTCTGGCCACCCTATTTAATGTTATTTGCCACCCTCTACTAAGGTAGTCTGTCTCACAATACCTGTTTTATTTCCTTCATCGTGTGAATCATAGTCTGAAATTAACACATGTATGTGTTAATTTCATGTCTGTTTCTCCCACCCCAGCATAATGTCCACTATAGTCTGACCAATTTCTTCACCACTGAATCCTTTGTCCAGAAAATGTCTGACACTTGGTTAGATATTAATTAGATAATTAATATGTAAAACATATTAATTGGGTAAATAATAAAAAATATTAATTAGAGAATTAATAGGGATATTGAAATCATTTAAGTGCCATCTAAAAAATAATCACAACTCAACTATCACAAATAAGAACCTATTGTACACAGATTACAGTACCTCCCAATAAATCTTCTTTCTATTTACCAATTTTAAACTACATTAAGAGAGCCAACCCCATTGATGATTTGTTTTGATTTACTCAGACGAAGCCTTTCTTTGCTCTGTGACTCAGTAGAAGGGAACTGGCTGAGATCTGAGAGCTTGGAAAAGGAGTCAATCCATTTCCCTGACCTTTCAGCATTAAAAAGAGTATTTGTAAAACACGTGAGTCGATGGCCTCTGCACACTTATGGGTATAGTAGAGATGGAATTGCCACCACTCATTTTGCCAAAATTGCATTTAACACAGGCATTATTTGAATATCATTGGGCATCAGGATTTGTTTTCTTTCCCAATGGTTAACATGTAAAATAAATAAATTAGAAGAGAGAACTAAGATAACAATAAAATGTACTTAAAACAATTTCTTGTTTCTGTTTTGCAAGAATTTGTAGTAAACAAATACTTTTCCCCCAAAACTTTCACATTTCCTTTTCATAACTAATATATACATGTTCTTTACATGTTCTGAAGGACCTTTGACGCCACAATTTTTAAATGCCTGCTATCAGGTCAGCATTTGGAGTGCAAGCTAATTGCAAAATACACATTTCTCAACTGGCTAATCATGTGAGAAATTAATGTCCATGAGAATGAAGAAGAAACCTTTTTTACGTTGACCCACTGTGTGTGTTCACTTTCCACCACATAGTGTGTCCTCTACCTGCCAATCCACAGCATCCGTCAGAGACAGGACCCTGGAACCCGCCTCTGCGGTTTCTGAGAGTTTAGTTCTATATATGGAACGTGGAAGTCCATGAAGTTCCAGCTCACCAAACACCCCTGCAGGAGAAAAGCACACTGCTACTTACTCACCGCACCGCACTGAGTTAGGTGCCGAAATAAAATGAAACTGTTCTCGACATATCCTAATGAGCGGCTGAACATTTTAGAATGGATGACACCAATTGGGGTCATCTGCTCAGGGCTCTGACACTTTGATTCACTTCTAGGGACAGAAGTGAATAGACATTGAGGCCAGTACACAAGACTATATGAATGAAGATGCTTAGTTCATCAATATTTGAAAATATGAGGAAACTAGAATTAATGAAATTGTATTTCAATAGAAGGATGGGATAAACTGTAATATACTAATTCCATGGTGCAATATGCTATAAAAGGAAAGGGTGTTATCTGCAAGTATTGATCTGGAAAAACATCCATAACATTTAGGAAGAAAAGCACTAAAATATGAAAAGAATTAATGCTTCTAGAAAAGAAAGATTATGAAGAAAGCCAGATTGGAGATGTATAATGGGCATGTGGGGAGATTGGTTAATGTTAGTTTTATCATGAATTATATTTTGGTTTAAAATATACACATCTATATCTAATTTAATGTAACATGACTTAATATTTAAAAATCTCTGGCACTTTTATAATCCTTTACTATGAATAAATATTTGTAAAAGCTTCTGAACCATACAATCATGAACTAATAATAATATTTTAAATTACATTCTTAAAACTGATATGCATGATACTTTTAGTGTCTGGAAACACATACCTAAGACCTTTGATCCTTGATTTGGTCCTTCTGGAAAAGCCCACTCTGGAGTAGAATGATTTCCTCTGAGAACAATCTGTAATTCTCCTTTAAAAGGGTTATCTTCCCAGCCACCAATTAATCTACCTCCCTGCAGTGAAGCAGAAAATTGTCAATACTTAAAAACTGAGCAGAAAAAATTCCTCCCCTAAAAAAGGAATTGGGAAGACTGGAAGCCTTGTCTAGTGAAAATGAATAAATTCTGTTATCCAAAGAGCAGTATTATAACTGGAAGTGACCTCAACTTAATCTACACACTATGGGATAGGCAATTTAATTTCCCAAGGTCAAGTTCAATATCTATTTTCTTTCAGAACTGGACCTAAAACTGGAACCTTTTAAGACCTAAACTACTGCAGTTTGAACAGATCCCACTGGGTTGTAAAATAATATGGCCTATATAGAATACATCCCTCTACTTAATCCAAGCTGTGCCATTTATGAGCCGTCATTGTTAGTAATAAAAGCTATTACTAATGCTTGCTGATTCTGTGTCAGGCATAATGTGTAAGGCTTTACCTATATTGTACCACTTAACCTTTACACTAAACCCATGAATTGGTATTATTCACACTTTATAGGTAAGAAAACTGATGCTAAAAGTAGTCGAAAAACTTTCCCAAGGTTACCCAACTATTAAACAGTGAGGCAAGGATTCAACTGTAGCTTTAATTTGCCTCAAAACTCACACATGTAACTAAAATATCACACCTTTAAAATATTAAAAGCTCAGTTGTACCAAAGAAAATCTACTATACACTTTTATTTTTTAACTAGAGGCCCGATGCACGGAATTTGTGCAAGGGGCTCAGCCCTCGCAGCCACGGAGGCTGCCTTGGCCCTCACAGCCCTTGCTTCGTCTGGAAGGTCATCCAGAAGGACGACCAGAAGGTTGTTTGGCTGTCCAGTCTAATTAGCATATTACACTTTTATTATTATAGATGGTGTTAATAGCTTTTTTGTTAGGTCATTCTTTTAATATACTTTTAATTAAGAGAATTCAGGAGAATATGAATAATAATAAAAGACTGCCTGGCTGGCATGGCTCAGTGGTTGAGCATCGAACTATAAACCAGGAGGCCACGGTTTGATTCCTGGTCAGGGCACATGCATAGGTTACAGGCTCGATCCCCAGAGTGGGGCATGCAGGAGGCAGCTGATCAATGATTCTTTCTCATCATTGATGTTTCTATTTCTCCCTCTCCCTTCCTCTCTGAAATCAATAAAAATATTTTTTAAAATATATAATAATAATAAAAGACAGAAAAATTAGACTGATTCTAGGGGTGGGGAACCTTTATTCTGCCAAGGGCCACTTGGATATTTATAACACCATTGGTGGGCCATACAAAATTATTAACTTAAAAAGTAGCCTGTTATATTTGGTCAAACATTTAATTAACTCACTCCTAATGCTTTGGCAGGGCCAGACCAAATGATTTCATGGGCCTTGTATGGGCTGGGGCCAGACATTCCCACCCCTGGGTTAAATGGTTACATGATCAAGACCATCTGAGGTTTCTGAGAATGAAGTGATTGTTCTAAACTACTGAAATATTTTATTAATCTGATTCTGTTTTCATAATTCCACCTACATTCAGTCATTTTAGGAAATACTGTTTGTTTTCTTTATTTTTAAAAAATGTATCTTTATTGTTGAAAGTATTATATATGTCCCCTATTTTCCCCCATTAACCCCCTCCACCTTGCACCCCGCCCCCAGTCCTTCACTGCCCTATTGTCTGTGTTGATAGATTATGCATATATGCATATAAATTCTTTGAAAAGGCTTAAAATCTTTTAATTTTTCCCAGGACTCCTGGGGATCCTCTGTTGGTTGGATCAAGCTGTGAATTTAACTGTACCTTATGATAACACAACTATTTTTGTAGGACTGGAAATGAGCAAACCTTACACTAAAAACAGCACGATAATCACTCTGTAAGGAATACTTAGTCCACAATATAAAGGAGAGTGAAATATACTAGACTTCAAGGGTAGGAGCCAGGTGTGTCTTTGTTTTTGTTTTAACCTATTGAATATGCTTTCTTATAATTTTTCAGTAAACCTCCAACATTTTAGAATTTGGTTAATAAATGATAAGACCTTTACTCTTACCTGCAGTGATATGTAGGTAGCATTCAAAACAACTTTTCTGTAAGAAGACTCTGCAGCTTCCACATTATATTTATCTTCCAGTTCCAGAACCCCCCAAATAATGAGCCTTTCCAGTGGTGGGATATCTATGTCTGCTACAACCCATGTTCCTATAAAACAAGACTTTAATATAAGAAATATAATCCCAAGATTATAGCCTATAGACAAAACGTTGGCAGCTTTCTTAGCGAGTCTTGGTTTTGAAGTGAGCAACCCTTTCCCCACACAATGACAGGTTCTTGTCTCCCCAGAAAATCTATATTCTTAATCCTCAGGTTTAAGTTCACATGAAACCCAGAAGGCATCTGTTATCCAGGACACGATAACAGAATCCATCGCCACATTTGCTCTTTCCTGAGGTGTGCTTTATAGAGGAGGAGTGCTAACTATTGTGTGCCACCTATCCCAAAGTTGCAAACACAAGCATTTAACTTCTTTCTGTATTTACCTTCAGGGATAACCACATTTGCTCCTGGGTGAGGTATGGTATAATTATTTTCCCGGGATGATTGCCAAAAAGAATCATTTGACCACAAGCTGAAAACAAAAGAAAAGCAGTCCATTAAATATTATCTCTCTGTTATCTAATGACCATCTCCTGAGGGTGTGGCACTATACCAGATGATTTGAGGATGCTAGAATGCAAATTAAATAGTTTATAACTTCACTAAGTAGACAAGCTAATATGTGAAATTAGTAACATACTCAACACACATAACTGCCTATATAATTTTTTTCTCCATTGAACAAAACTTCCTTTCCACCACAATCTGAATTACTTTTTCTCCCACTAACTCCTTATTGTGATACACGAATTTTGCTGCTCAGGATGTGTCACCAAAGAGTTCTGTGATCTCAGGTAATTCACTTAAGGTCACTGGACTTCACCTATATAATAAGGGAATTGGTCTGTCTAGTAATTCAGATCTAACATTCTGCCAGTCTGAGATTCCACATAATTACTGTAAGGTTTTTCCATTTTCTCATCAGCGTCATTGTCAGGCTCAAGGGAAGCAATGAGTGTGGAAGTGCTTTGTGACCCACGAGGATTTGTTTTTTTGTGTCGGGGGGGGGGGGGGGCAACA